AGGTTGAAATTAACAGAACTCCCAGACAACATAGTGGTCTCTATTTTGAATGTTTTGGATCTGCAATTTTTACTCCAAGCTGAGAATAGGACATGTAAACGGCTGCATTTACTTACAGAAGACAACTCAATACTGTGGCGATTTTTTGATTTTGACACAGAAATTTCTGTGAAAGTCTGTAATAATCTTGAAAGAATATTTCGACATTCAAGCTGCTTCAGAAAATTTTTATTACCAGGCCTTAATCTTAAAGTCTCCATTCCTGATTTTTTGATCGAGTGTTCGCTGGAGAGGTCTAGGTATCTTTATTGGCTAGACAATTATCATACAGTTCAATTTTATCACTTTCATTCCTCCAGAAAACTCCAGCATTAGAAGTATTAGACCTTACAGGCTGCAAATTCCTAAAAGACATTGACTTTCGTGAAATTCATAACTGTTGCAGTTTAGACCATCTTTACCTGTCATTTACTAACATTACACCTGAACAATTAGTAGAAAATGCATCAGTACAAAATCTGATTACCCTTGACGTGTGTGGTGTAGGATTGACCGTGCCTCAGTGTGAGAGAATTCTGAAGGGGAATTGTAAATATCTACAAATTATTTTTCTCTATCATTAGCTGCATCGGTAGACCCTAATTCGTTTGAACGGGAAATCAGATCAATTTTCTGTGACTGTCAATTTAACATCTACCAAAGATGAATGTAGAAGAAGCTTTGTTGTTACTAGACCACTTATTTGAAAATGATATTTCAAACAATCAGACATATGAAGTCGACCCTGTTATAGATTTTGCCTCTGATGAGACCTATCCTCTTAACAGCAAGGATGCAGATTCAGTCGATCCAGTTCTAGACTTGAATCCTGACCTTCCTATTTCTAGTACACTTGATAGCAACAATAATTCCTTGGAAATCGAGGAAGCTGAAAAGTTATTTGATAGTCTTGGAGAGGAAAGCTCTACTGAAGATCCTAATGATCCTGATTTTATTATCAATGTAGAGACAGGTGATTCATCAGATGGGGAGACCAACCTAGGTGCATCTGTAGAAGTGACAACAAGCACTGAAGAACAAACCCTTCTTTCAGAAAATACAAATATAGATGATATCATTGAGTCTGGTTCCGAACCAAATGTTTCTCTTCTTGACAGTGGTTTAGGAGAAAATGCAGAGCCAAATCAGAATAATGAGGATGATTCTGAACAAAATACTTCTCTTGTGGATAATGATTTAAGAGAGGATGTAGAAACAAGAAGAAGCAGAAAGCGGACAAGGAACGAAGATCAATGGAGAAAGAATATAAGAAAACGTCAACGTCAATCGGGAAAACGATAAAAGGACTCGAAAGGAAATGCTCAAAGGAAAAGGGAGATAAAGAACAAGAAAGATTGTAATGGAAAATGTAAATTTCGATGCAGTTTGAACATTACTTCTGACGAAAGAAACGCTATTTTCTCCGAGTTTTGGAATTTATCCGATGATGGAAAACATACATTTTATGCAAAAACAACAGAAAGAGCACTAAAGGAACGAGTGAGGACTAAGGCTGCAAGATCAAGAAGAAAATACTCATATAAATATTTCTTTGTTAAGGCCGAGGAAAATGTTAGAGTTTGCAAAGACTTTTACTTAAGTACTCTTGATGTAAGTCAAAGAAGAATAGAATGGTTTCATGACAAGGCAGCTAGAAATGAGTTTACAGACAAGAGGGGAAAACACACCAAGTCACAAATTACAGATAATGTAAAATCTTTCATAAGGGAACATATAGAGTCTTTCCCGAGGATGCCCTCACACTATTGTAGAGCATCTTCATCAAAGGAATATCTTGCAGCGGATCTGAATCTGGCAAAGATGTACAATCTTTATGTGGAGAAGTGTACTAAAAAAGACATGGTTCCTGCCAAGTCTCATGTTTATCGTAATGACTTTAACACAGAGTTTCACATAGGATTTCATGTTCCGAAAAAGGATAGATGCGATCATTGTATGGAGTACGAGGCTCAGAAAGACACAAACAGAATCACAAGAATACTACAAGAAAAGTTTGAAGAACACCAGAGGGATAAAGTTGAAACAAGAGAAGAGAGAGAAAAAGACAGAAAGTTAGAAAGCAAAACAGAGGCCTTTATTTGTTTCGATTTGCAGAATGTCATTACTTGTCCTAGAACAAACGTATCCAGTTTTTTCTACAAAAGAAAGCTAAACGTTTAGACAACTTATCTGCCCATTGTTCCCTTGACAAGAAAGCATACAATGCTATTTGGGCTGAATGTATTGCAGGCAGGGGAGCAAATGAGATAGCAAGTGCTCTACTAGTCATCCTTGGTGCTGTATTAAAGGATCACCCATTAGTTGACACCATAATCCTTTGGTCAGATTCCTGCGTTCCGCAGAATCGTAATTCTGTTATGTCGCTTGCCTTGAAGACTTTCATGTTGCAGAATTCCAATGTCAAAAAGATAGTTCAGAAGTATTGTACTCCTGGACACTCTTCCATACAGGAGGTGGACAACATTCATAGTCACCTGGAGAAAGGACTTAAAATATCTGAAATCTACAGTCCTGTCAGTTTGTTGCGAGTATTGAAGGGCATTAGGCCTAAGCATTCAAGGGTTATACAATTACAAAAAAATACATTTCTACAACTTTCAGAAAGTCTCAACAACTTTGAAATTTAGTTCTGTGCCATACTCAAAGGTGAAGCAGCTTGAGTATGTGTTAGAAAAACCTTTTCATGTACTATTCAAGATGTCATTTGCAGAATCAGAGTATACAGAGGTATCTATCAGAGGACAAACAACACGACGTAAGGATCCTTGCCCGAACGTTTGCCTTCCAGTGCCAAAAAACCTAACAAAGAGCCCTGTTCTGTCCAACGAGAAGAAAGCAGATTTTAAATCAATGTTAAAATTTATGCCTCTTCAAGTTCGCGAATTCTTTGAGGTATTTTGCAAGTTGAAAAAAAAATGAACTGAAACTTGAAAACACAATAAAATGAACTTGAAAATCTTAAAATGACAATCAATCAAATATATGAAAATGAACAATGTTTCTATTAATTGCATTATCTTAATTTTTGTTGTATTGATTATAGTTCAAATTAATTTAGTAAAAAATGATTCGTGTTGCTATAATGCCAAGATTTTCCAGTTTGTTTAATTTGTATAATTCAAATCGAATGTTGAGTAAGACAACTCGGTGTTTTATGTAATAAACTTTTTTGTTGTTCAAGATTTTGTGTTGATTTCCTAGGTAAAAACTATCATATCAAATGATATGTAAAAATATTCTCCAATAAGTATGACTATTTTTTAACTTTAAAAGTGAAAAAGACGACAAACATTGAAAACTCTTAGCTTTAGAATTTTTAAATATGTTGTATCTCCATATATATTTAATGTGTTCATGCTTATCAAAGAACCAGTATGTGCTATTTCCAAACTCAGTACATCTCTCAACAAAAAATAAAAATAATGATGCTAGAATGTTCTATTTCCAAATAAAAGACTCCAGATTTCAATTATCTGGAATACATGTAACCAATTAGAGTATAAATTCTGAAGGATTACCTTTTAAACGGAATAATTTTCAAAGGTTTGATTTTCTATGATAAACAAGTTAAAAATCTTGAGGCTATAAACTTTGAGGTCATTTTTTCTCAAAATCAAAAAAATTGGTTATAGAACAGCATGGTTCTCAGGCGACGATAAGTATAAAGCGAGTAGACTAATAAAATTAATATTTAACATATGTAATCTCAAAGTTATAATCAGTGATTTACATTTTAGTTTGAAGAATGGAGATAATTTCTTATATATATGCAGATTAAAAATTTTGTAATGATGGACAACTCTATAAAAAAAAGATCTGGTAATTTATTCCATATTTACAAACCATAAAATGTAAATGACTTCTAGAATACTCTTTTTTTTGCCCTTGGAATACACAATGCATTGCTCTGACTTAATCTTGTAGATCTATTGTTTATTTCATTTACATATTTAAAAACATCTAAATAATCTGGAGTTAATCCGTGCAGGAATTTAAAGACAATGGTGAAATTTCTATGAATAAATTATTCATTAAGGACATCCATCCAAAACAATGTCGATTGTGTCAAAGCGGTACTCCATCATCATTTTCATATCGTCTATAGCTAGACCGCTTGTATTAAGAATACAATTGGTATATTAAAAAGTAATTTTCTTTATGAATCACAAGATATGAATATTTTCGAATTCAATTTCCATTGAAGAAGCAGCTGTCTATGATGTAAAAAAATATTTCTTTAGAAAGGGCTGTATACCACCAAGAAAATTGAAAGTTTTGATGTTCTTGGAATTTCAAAAAAAGAAATCGGTAATGCACGTATTTAATTGTCTTCACGTTCTTTAGAAAATTTGAATTTCACGTCTAGTTTACAGCATTTCTGGAATACTAGTATACTGTAACATCGAGCGTTTTCAAATTCTCCTTTGTGATTTTTATGAGTAGAAGAGATAGGTTCTTGGAAAACTCTAATTTTATTTAAAATTACAATATGAAGTATATCAAATAAAATAATTAGATAGAACATGTTTGAAAATACATGTACATATTTTTAATTGCAGTATTTTTCCTTCAAATGCAGTGTTTTTTTTTAATTTGCATTATGCTTTTAGTTTCCAAATTGCCAAATATCGTATCTAATTGGGAAATGAAGATCTTAAAATTTGTGTATCTTAAAAGCTTTTTAACTTAAAACAAGGATAGATAATTTATGCATTCTACTCGTTGCGCAGCAATGAAACCACAAACTTTCATACATAAGGTTTTAATGTTTGCTCTGATCCTGTTTTGTATTATTTTGTTTTATGGCCTTTTGATCTTGAATATTGTTCGCTATCTCCATATGTTTCATTGATCTGATCAAAATGACATGAACACATACACATTTAAAACATTGATTAATTTTTTTACTGTAACTGAAAGATAAGTAAACTTATTTGACATGCTTGTTTATATACTTTGCAAAGTGTCAAAGCATGTACAAAGTTTTGAATGTTCCTTTAATTACTAGTATTTTCACACATAGGAGTTTTCTATAAAATAGTATCAAAAATTCTGGATCATCTTGTTTGTATGATTCATTATAGAATGATTGCTTATTTTTAACAAAGAACATTCATAACATTATGTTATACATACTAGTACATGAAAGTAAATGCATTTAATTATACAGCAGCTAAATAAGGCAATACATGAACAGTAAATGACATATATGTAAGCCATTGTAAGGACTACAAAACTCAAGCCGATCATCGGTGCTTTGTACATATTTTCATAAACATTACATGTAGTTTAATTAAGCCCATCTACATAATTATATTTTACATTTTAGGTGTGGGTTTTTGCTCTTGCAACGGAAAATTCGGGGTCATATAGTTTTTCCATTGTGCATCCGTTTGTTTGTTTGTCCACAATTACTTGAACCTTGCCCATAACTTTGAGTGTTTGGGGTTATGTCTTTCATATTTCAGGGGTGTTTTTTTGTTACAAGATCTTTTTTGAAGAACCAGAACATGTTTACCTCTTAAATTTGACCTTGAGTTTGAATCACTTTTTTTAAAATACGAATCTTTATGCTGGGCTATAGTTTCGAAGAAAAAAAAACAGTTGGTGCTACGGCATTCATACTTTCCATGTGTTTTCAATGTGACCTTTCAATGGGTATCAATATTTATGACCTTATGACCCTGACATTAGAGTTTGACTCATTAAAAGAATAACCTTAGTCATAACTTTTGAACAATTAGTATTAGTGCTCTCATATCCTTATGAAGAGATCTTGCTTCGGATACAGAATTATACCAGAAGTTTGTCTTCATCTATAACCTCAACCCGAAGGTCAGGACTCATTGAATGATAGCTGGAGATGCATTTCCGGTAAAACATGGCTGATGTGCCAAACAAAGATTTCCAATCTTCCATAATTTTTCTAGGCGTATCTCCATTCACAGATAAATGATCAGTAAGGCTATTTCCGTCGGATATATGGGTGGAGAGCACAGTCATTAGAGGATACAGTTTTCTATCATGTTTGATTTCACCATATTTTACGGTGAGAACAGTTTCGAAATGCATTGAATCAATAGAAAGAGAAGCCCGGTCTCCGTGGACAAATTCTACTTCAAATTTCATGTTGATTGGATCTAGTTCGATGCTTTTGATTGGTGAAGTTGGTCGAGGGTCACTTGCATTGTTTGGTCCAATGACAACGGTCGTTCCAAATGGTATCCAATCAAGACCATGAGGCGTAATGGGAAGTAGGCTGGCTGTTCCATCGTGATACAGGGAGAACACCTGGGAGAACCCGCTGCTCCAAGGCAGTTTGGCGTGGACCTGAATTAAATCCAGGTTAGTATACACCTCCTTTGTATATTTACTTCTAGTGGTCATGGCGTTCTCGGCCATGTACCCCGCGTCGATGTCGGTCCCCTCAATGATATAATTATTGTCCTGATAGAGGACAGTTTTGTTGTGAACCGTTTCCCGTTTTTTAAGCGTTATATTTTCAATGAAAGCATTGACTGCTTTTGGCGAGGAAAAGCCAAGTCGTAGAATGTTTTCCTGGGTTAAACTCCAGGAATGATCAGGGATTTTCCAGGTATGCATTGTCTTATTTTTAGGATCAACTTTAAGTCTATCAAAACTAATGTACCGACGAGATTCACCCAGATAAGAAATATCAAGGTCAAAAGGTGCACCATCATCTCTCAACTTCAGTTTCAAAACGGAACCGACTTGATGTTCATTTGTGTCTCTTGTCAGCGAGAGTTTGGGCTGGAAAAAAGTAACGGCCATTATAACGTAATTCGGGGATCCTGCAAAATCAATTTTATATTTACTTGTGGATATGCTTTGTTCATACGGAGCAACAGCTATATTAGAAAAGTTTAACGAAGGCCGACCAACATTGCAACCACTGTAGTTTGGAAGGCGATTGTTGGAGAACGTTTTATACTTTGGATTTGATGCAGTCACGCGGAAAAATGTCGCTAAATCATTGTATACCGCTACTTTGACATTTGCCTCTTCAGAGCAAGATGACCTAAAGCTTCTCTGTTCAAATCTTGACCCAGGAACACTGTCTAATTTTGGAACTTTTTGAAATTTAATGTCGTCAAAACAAAACATATCACAATAGAATCCTAGTTCGTCTAGTTTCTGGTCATCGACGTCCACCAAAATGAAGTCTACCTCTGCTCCCCACTGGTCGGACATAGCCACCACGAGTTTTATTTTATGGTTCCCCGCGGCAAGAGTAACACCCTTACCCACAAGTCCACTTGAATGATAACTGTTCCAAGCATTTCCGCTTCCTGTCTGAGTTCCTGTTTTATATTCTCCGACCGTGTTCCCGTCGATTTCGACCAAGTATTCGTCATGAGGTCCATCATTGGAAAATCGTATGTTCGAAAGCTGAACGTTGGTTTCTCTGTGTACACAAAAGGTGTACTCTAAATATTGTCCCTGTTTCATGTGCACGGCCTTCCGTCCGCTGGCTTCTGATCGAGACACGCCCCCTAATTTATTGTCCCCGATGTACAATGACCCAACAGTGTGTGAATCCTCTGCCTCTAATATGAAGGATTTTGAGCTGACCTTCGCAATGAAACAGCTTAAAAGGAATATGATTTTGATGCACTTGGCATGACTTGAATAATCTTTTATCTGGAAAAAGAGAATAAGAAAGTTTGTATTTATTTAATCATACACGTACAGTACATGTAATTCCTTACAGATGCAAACAGTGTATCATTCCTTTGGAATTCATTATTATGCAATGTCATGGCATTTTTCTGTTTTGTTAAGTATACAATATGTATATAAATACCCATATTCATTTGTACCATCACACAAATTGAACAAAATTTAAAATACAGGAATCATGGTCATGATGAAATGTCAATTTAATAATCATTAAAGATTTTTCATAGACTTACATTGAACATTGATAATGTGGCAACGATATGACATTGAGCAGCAATAGTGTATTTTGCAGCATGTCATTAACCTCTTTTAAGAGGTTAAGTCTTAAAGTCTTGAAATTAACCCTGAACAAAGCAAATAATTAACTTACCTTTATTGATAGCATGGTTCACTTGTCGAGATGTTCTGTAAGAATGGTCAAAAGATTGAATTCCACGCCTTCATTTTCTTAAAAAATCAAACCAGTTTGTGGGATTCCATTTTTATTGTCGTAATGAATTATTTAACACAGCAGAATTCATTAACTCGGAACTTAGTTATAAATTTCTAATTGTACAACAAGTATTTTGATAGACAATAAATAAATGTTTGTGCTCTCGCACTAATTGACCTAATTAATCACACTTCTTCATTCTAAACCGGTTTAAAAAAGGAAAACCTTTATTTTCAGGCGTTCCGTGTGTTAAGTGTAAACGTCTATACGTTATAAGACATATATGTACGTCAGTGCACTTATTTTGACCAGACTGCCTCTATTAATGTACATCACCAAGCCAAAATGCATGAAGACTGAAATGGCCAATCCCGAGTACATATCGCTCTCTAATTCATCACACAAGTATTGGATTGGTAGAGTATTATACAGAAGGGTCACTATTATAGACATGCACGTCTAGTTTACAAATAAATAAATTTTGCTTTGGAAAAAATTGGAATGTGTGTTGTGTTTCAAGCAGTACATTCCGAGATGCCTTGTCGCATATAGTTTACATTTATTTGGTGAATTAATTAACGCTTCATCTCTCAAGGTGCCAAACCATAACTAAAGACATTTTTGAGAAGTATGTCGATACAATGACCTTCCCAACAAATACAATATATCATTTTATAAGTCAAATGTTGACTGTCTTTTACACAACTGTCTTTTATACCAACTGTTCAGGCCATTATTCACACACTGAATTGTCTACGAATTGTTTCGTTATTTCCCGATCAAGACAAAAAGCACACGTGTGACAGGTGTCCCGGTCAGTAGGGGATGCTCACTCCTCCATGATAACTGACTCCACACCTTATGTTTAAGAGGTTCTTGTTTGCTCTGATCCAGTCTGAATTTGTTTGAATGGGCTTCGATTCTAAACTTGCATTGTCTAGTGTAAAATATTTTGTTTTATGTTTCAATAAAGTGAAAGTTTAGTTATATTTTCACCAAAATACATTTAGTTGTAAAAACTTAAAATCACTTTTACAATAACTTAATAATACACCCACCGTCGCGTTGAAGGTCACAGTAAGTGTTTTCTTCTTTTCACGTAAAAGATTTTGAACTTAAATTTACTGTGGAAAAAAAACGAATTTAAAGTTTAAAGCGAGGCAAGCTATTTATAGACATGATGAATTAATTCTTTTTATTTAAAATCAACGTTTTGACAATCTAATACGAAATCGAATGCTGACTGAAATTTACATGTAAATTATTAGGTAATTATTAAAGACTTATTTGTCTACGGACGTTTTCAATTTTTCCTCGACCATTCATAACATTGAGTTTTGCATAGCTGGTGTTACCGTTCAACAGGGATGCTTACTTTCTGCGACACCTGATCCCACCTTTGATTTTTAGGTCTTTGCTTTGCCTGGGATTTCTACTGTCTCAATGGACTTTCTTTTAAGTTTGATTACTGTTTCTTTTTTCAACCTGATTAAAATCTTATCTTTATTATGCTTCGACATTCTGATACCGGTAGTTGCTTTACAAGGTCTGATTTTAATCAGATTGGTTCGTGATCTTCATATTTAATTTTATCTGAAACCCTAGTATAAAACATACAAATGTGGAAGGTGGCTATAACAAACAGTGCTTAATCGCATATAAACAGCAAACAAATCAAATCTTCTACGTCTTATGAGCAAAATTACCGACCCCTGGTAACGCTAAAGGAGGGGTCAGATGCCTAACAACCCTGACAGGGTTTAGCATACCCTGTCGACCGGTCACACCTGCTGTTAGTCCCATGTACTGACCAGGTGAATCGAGCACTCACTAGCCGCTATAACAGCAATAATCTAACAAACTCTAACAAACATGTACGACCCAACGATAGGTTTTATTTACAATAAAGCGTAGATTATATGCAATAGAGATTGCTTTGATCGACATTTTTAAGATCCTTGTAACATCGACTTATTTTTCAGTAGCTTGCCTTGTTTAAAATAATTGATAACTCTCAGAGCAAGTGTATAGAATCAGCTGAGATACATAAACACCGAATGCAGTTTATCCTGATTTGTTACAACATAAATAATGGACGTCGAACATGAAAAAAAACCAAGATATTCCATTTGTCATACAGATTAGTAATAAGTTGGCCATTATCTTGTAAAGTCAGTAAAACGTCAAAATATGAAACAAATGTATCAGAATCGCCATTATGGATATCAGGTTAACATATTATCTATTTCAAATATTATTAATAAATTTTTGAATTAATTTTATTGAATGACGTCTGTTTTGATACCGATTATGTCGTCGTTATGGCACGGCTCTCAGTATTGGGGCTAACGAAATGTATACATGTTCTGTCATGACTTACCAGCTGATTGAACGTAGAATACACACTCTAATGGAGTCCACATTACCATGGAAACAATTTTTAATCTCCAGAGGAACAGCTGGTGCTTTTTTCCATCGTCTTTCTCAGAGCGATTGTATCTCTGTATTCACGTTCTAGAAATGGAGGAGGAAAATTCGTCCAAGCGATTCCTTCAGATCCCATGTCAGCCTTGGGTAAGAAATCAAAACCCTATATACTGATTAACTCTCTCTCTCTCTTTGCATGAAGGATGTCATGTCTAGTAAGCTAAATTGAAATACTAGAAAACTGATGACAAATATCATGTAAAGTTTTAAATCGTCTATGCCAAACGTTGCAATATTTGTTCTTATATTCATTTGTGTGTATTGTATTTTCCATTTGGTATTGTATATATAATTCTAATTTGTATTGTATATTTGTGTATATTGTATAATTGTTTTATTTGAGTTCTTTATTTTTCATATGCTTTTTGTAATTTCTAATTTGTGATATATAATTTCTTTTTATGTGTTATAAATTCCATTTGTATTATATTAAATGGGAGTATTGTGAAAAATTGTACCAGTAAATTAATTGGCTAAAATGTACTGGTAACTAAATACATGTAATTGTAGCAGTTAATAAATTGACTAGTACACGTAATTGACTAATTGTACCAGTAATTGACTACTTGTACCAGTATAATAATTGACAAATTTTTATATACTGATATATAAATTGACTATTTATATCAGTAATTGACTAATCATGCCGGAATATGAATTGACTAGCGTTATATTAAGGAGGCTGGCGGGTCAAAAATTTAATCTTAAATTAACCACCAGATTTAACTTATTTTTTAAGATATGGTATATTTAGCTGTCAACTATCATTTGGCAATGAAAAAATTCATATATTTTAGTTTTAAAATTTTATCATTTTGTATATCTTTATATGGAGCTCTCCTTTTAAAGGAGATTGAAATAGTCTAAAAATGGCTGCCACCCCCTAGCCTCGTTAATCGACTTTTCGTGCCAGTAATTGACAAGCTGTTTTGGTGTCTGACTACTTGTACCGATATACAACTGTATTAATTGACTGATTGTATCAGAAATTGACTAATTGTATAAAAGTATATAAATTGACTAATTGTACCAGTATATAAATTGACGAATTGTATCAGTAATAGATTTATAGTACCCTGTGGCTTATTGTACCGGTATATTAATTTACTGTTTGCATCAGTAACTGTCTAGTAGTATTAGTTATTGACTATTTTTACCAGTAATTGACTAGTTGTGTAGGTATATTAATTGACTTAAAGTACCACTAATGGACCTATTATAACAATCATTAACTTATTGCACATTACTGATATTATACCAAAAATTGAGAAATTGAACCGGAATGTTGATTTACTAATCGACCGTATATTAATTGACTTATTGTACTATTAGTTCATTAATTGTACCAGTAATTAATTAACTGATCTTGTAATAGACTTATTGCATGTATCAGATAATGACTATATTTGTACCAGTAATTGTCCAATTGTATTGGTAATTTACCAATTTGTACCAGTAATTGTCTAATTGTACCGGTAATTTGTTAATTTGTATCAGTAATTGACTAATTGTACCAGTTTGAACGCAGGAGAGAGAAGAGGTGGAGGAGGACGACGAAGATTTCTGTTCCTGGGAGGATCCAACAGACAGCAGGGCCTCGGTCGACATATCCACGGTTAAGTTTTCACCTGATTTATATCCTAGACATATCCACGGTAAATAAGTCACCTGATTTATATCCTAGACATATCCACGGTAAAGTAGTCACCTGATTAATGTCCCTAGACATATCCACAGTAAAGTAGTCACCTGATTTATATCCTAGACATATCCACGGTAAATAAGTCACCTGATTTATATCCTAGACATATCCACGGTAAAGTAGTCACCTGATTTATATCCTAGACATATCCACGGTAAAGTAGTCACCTGATTAATGTCCCTAGACATATCCACAGTAAAGTAGTCACCTGATTAATGTCCCTACACATATCCACGGTAAAGTAGTCACCTGATTTATATCCTAGACATATCCACGGTAAAGTAGTCACCTGATTTATATCTTAGACATATCCACGGTAAAGTAGTCACCTGATTTATATCCTAGACATATCCACGGTAAAGTAGTCAACTGATTTATATCTTAGACATATCCAGGTTAAAGTATTCACTTGATCAATATCCTAGACATATCCACGGTAAAGTATTCACCTGATTTATATCCTAGACATATGCACGGTAAAGTACTGGTATTCACCTGATTTATATCCTAGACATATTGACGTAAAAGTAGTCACCTGATTTATATCCACGGTAAAGTACTATTATTAACCCGATTTATATCCTAGACATATTGACGGAAAAGTAGTCACCTGATTTATATCCTGGACATATCCACGGTAAAGAAGTCACCTGATTAATGGCCCTGGACATATCTATGGGGAATAAGTCAACTGATAAATGTCCCTAGACACATCCGTGGTAATGAAGTCACCTGATTAATGTCCACGGTTAAGTAGTCACCTGATTTATATCCTAGACATATCCACGGTAAAGTAGTCATCTGATTTATATCCTACACATATCCACGTTAAAGTATTCACTTGATCAATATCCTAGACATATCCACGGTAAAGTATTCACCTGATTAATATCCTAG